TTATATAGGTTCCACGTACAATGCCTAGCTAGAGGTGGTAGTCGGTTTCCATTTGAGGTTGAAGCCCGAACGCGCCCAAGTGTTGGTCGAAAAAAGGAAGGAGTGTCGGTGTCGCTTGGACCAGCCTTGTTTCCCGAGTCGGCGCACGGGCCAGTCCTTTCGCATGCCACATCCCTGGAATTCGGAGGAGCACAATTGTCTGACCGCAAAAGGCAAGAGAGCACTGTCTAGTCGGAGCGCGCGTCAACCAGCCGCTGAGGCAGGCCGTTTGCAAGCCGGCAGCGGCAAGGCAGCCGGACACTGGCCTGGAGTTGCAGCACGACGCATATCTTCACACGCATATGCAGTATGCACCCAGATGTGAGGATTTTGGCTCCCGGAGCATTCCACAAGTCGACGGCGCGATCGACGACGATCGTTGTGGTCAACTGGAGAGAAAGCGTTTACGTGATTGATCCGTAGATTTGACCGCCGAGCGCGATCGGCAATCATTGAATCAAAAATCCCGTCCCGCATCCTAACCAACCATGCACCGACGCCGCGAGCTGCGACGACAGCTATACGAGCTCAACGACACCATCTCTCATGCGGAGGATGGAACTGCTCTCGAACGAGCTTGCGCCGCCGTCGTTTCAACAGCCTTGACCGAACTCAATCTCATCGCCTATCCTGTCCTCACCCTGTCCCCCGAAATCACTGCCGAAATCGGTTCAAGTGGTGTGTTCACTGCATACACATCCTGTGATTATAACACCGCACCTCTGCTTCTCACGCGCATTTGTCGTCATTGGAGTGGTGTTTTTCCCCTGCTCCGGCTTGGCTTGAAGCCGCCGGCTTGGGCTTGGCTTGACCCGCTCCGGCTTTCAAAATCCCCAAGCCCAAGCCGGAGCCGGGATGCCGGCCGGCTTGGGCCCGGCTCCGGCTTAGCCGGCGGCTTTGGTTGATTTTTTAAAACCTGTTTCCTCACACCTCTACAAATGAACTACTGTTCAATGGAGCATCAGTAGTATAGATTGCCGGATGAAAAGTCAAATAAAGATTGGAAGTGGGGTTTTGAGCTGTTTCTGAGAGTCGTATTATAAGCCGGCAGCTGATGGGATCATAATGATCATCATACTGTCAATGGTTTCATGTCCTGTCCTTCGACTCGAGAAATTCAAAATCCAATAACAGTGGCTGATCTTGAGTATTTTTTCAGTGACATTGGGTGCAGAGTGGTCTGCTCACACTCTCAAGATGACTCTGAAGTTGGGCTTGGAAGCCGGGGCGTAGCCGCCGGCTTGGGGCTTGAGAAATCCCAAGCCGGAGCCGTAAGCCGGGGTGCACACCCGGCTTGGGCTTGGCTTGGCCCGGCTTAGCCGGACCCCGGCTCTGCCGGCTTCGGGCTTCAAGCCGTAGCCGGCAAAACACTACATTGGAGGGACGTGGCTCTGTCCACACCCGCGCTGTGGGACACGATCTGGTTTCTGCCCGATCATATCATCGACCAGAAATATCCAGCCCTCCAGTCCTGGCTCAAACGTTCCGGCACTCGTCCTATCTCCCTCGGTGTCAACTAGTACACTGAATATGAAACTTCCACTCACCTCGACGCGCTGATGCATGACCACGCTTCACGATTGCAGGTCAAGGGGTATCCGCCGGGAGATGCCGAGACACAGCCTCATAGGTAGGGTAGGGTCCGGCGGTCCTTAATCCACTTTTCTGACTGTTGCTCAGATTCATTCAAAAACACTTTTGGGACACTCGTTGAAAAAATCGGTTTTTTTGATCGGAACATTGATCCCAACAGTGATTTCTGAGCCCAGTCAGAGGCTTCATTTTCATGCTCGGAACATGGAATGTAATTATCCGTTCTTTAAGATTATGGCTCCATCACTGATTGTGCTTCCCCATTTGTGCATTCTCTTTTTGTTTCCCTCTCTCATCCTACCATCAAACCAGTGCCTCCTCCACAGCTCTTTCATGAACTTCTCCCACGAAAGCCACTTCTTTCTCCAGATCAATGCCGCTCCCTAACAGCATTTCAAACTGTACAACACCGGCTCGCCAACGGCACACAAAGTATGCATGCCGAACGCCGCGCGTCGCCTTGAACTTGAGAAAATCATCCCAAATTGGGTTCCTTCTGCCCTGTCCACGCGCCTCATGATAAGCTTACTGCCTGTTCCTGACTGATAATCAGCTCGGCGAGAACGCGCGTTCTGCAGCCCTCAACAGCTTTCTACAGCAGTGTTACCCGCATTGGACCCTCTCGGGGCCCGGGGGTTCAGCCCTCGCCGTGACGACGTATGCCTGCCACTCTTATAAACCCTCCTGAACTCCATATCCACCCACCGTTCTTTCCCTCTGCCCCCTTCCTCCCGCGACCTCCGTGCTGAACATCACTCACTCCTGCTCTGATGATCCTCTGCTGTCCACTGGGTTCCTCCACCTGGCATATGCATCGCGGACACCGAAACTCGCTGATTGGTTACTCTCTCTGGGGCTGCCGGAAATTCAATGCACAAGATTCGTCAATTACACGGTGCGCACCGTCTGGGATACTGGCTTCGATGCTGTCTCAATTGTCGGAAGCCATCTGCTCGGCATTCAGAATTTTGCGACTCGAACGACGGTCATCGCCTTCAAGTTCTCAACTATCGCGTCCCAACACTGACTGTAACATCCGCACTGTAACACTGTCCGATTAACATTCACGCCGGAATACATACCGGAGCTGCAAGCATCCGCCGTGCCTCTGTTTCAGCGCCCGCTCCTTAAAGGCACTAACCTCAGCGTACCTAACTGGCAGCCTCCTCTCAACTCTCACCATCCTGATTACTCTCGTGTTGGGCCCAGTGGTGATGTCCGCTCTCGTGTCGTGTCGCGCGATCCTAGGCGGCCAGGCCCCGAGTATACGAGATTCTGCCGCATTGAACCTCCTGTCGCCCGAGCCCGTTTCTTTCTTTATTATGTAGAACAAATGTAGAATCACTGGAATCAGCTCATGCAAAAGAAATTTCGATGTCTGTTTTGAACTTGAACATGTGAGGCAACACTGCCGGAGCGAAGCGAAGGCACGTCTTGTGTTCGTTTAATGTTCCTGCACTAGCTGGGTGGCGGATCAAGAGAATTCATGATCCCTCGGTCACGTTTCTCGGCCATCAGTCACGTGAATTTCCTTATGGGGCTCGGCTAATAGGTAGGTAGGGGGTCGGGGGTCCTTAGTTCACTTTTCCGACCCTGTGTATAATTCTTTAAGGGTGCCTACCCCTTGTTGCAGGTTCTCCATTATACCGCATTTCCAGAGGTCCTCTGCAGCCTAGATCCAGTGTCATCATTACCTCTTCTCGATACTGTTCATTGACGTTTATCGCGGCACAGAAGGACACCATGGGCCCATCCAAATCTTCAAACCCCACGCCGCTCCCGCCCTCCGGATCCGTTATCTCTCACTCGAGTCGTTACCAGCCCTCGCTATTCGCAACCATGCCGTGGCGGCAGTTGACGACGCTGGCCTTATCGCAGGTGTCCCGCGCCGGATGCATGCAGGCTCTTCGGCAGGCCACCGCTCTGCAGGAGTTCCAGCGCGAAGATACCGGCGATATCAGAGACGAGGCCATGCCAGAAGCGGGAGAACCCCAGCTGCATCACTCCTCCCTCATCTCCCTCTCAGTGTCCACTCGGCGGCGCGACGAGAGCATCCTACATCTGCTCGCCGTTCCATGTTTAGAGAGACTGGAGATCGGCAACATTCAAGCGAGGTGCTGGCCTCGTGCCATTCCTCTCTCGCGTATCTCACATGCTGCGATCCCTCACAATCAGACTGTCGCCCACTGCTCCTGTGCATTGGTTCAACCACCTTACAGAGCTCACGACACTGGAGCTCATCCTCCCAGGGACGCACCACGACAGAGATTTCCAGCCTGATATCATCCAAGCGTTGGACCGGCGTACCTCGCACGACTTTTTACCTCGCCTCCGGACGTTCGTCCTCTCGGAGGCGCTGTCGGATACGGTGGACGATACGCTCCTCCGGGCTCTTGACTCCAGATGCGAGTTGTCCTCTTCCGATGCAGATGCAGGGCATGCTCGACTCGAATCGTTCAGTCTCTTTTGGGCTGGGTATCGGCCTAACCCCACTGTACATGTGGTTATGCCGTTGGTGAATGTCACAGCCTTGCGTGCTTTGGCTGCTCGGGGGATGCGGATTCACGTTGGAACGCGTGTGCAGAATAGCTTTTATTGAATGTGGGGAATTGGATGTGCGGGTCGTTTTCATTCTGACTCAACACCTTGAGTGACTTACCCATTGGTTCAGGTTCTCTATATTGCGCTGAACTTGAACTCAAGGCACCGACCGTCGAGTTCATCCTTGTCTCGTTACGTACCCGTAACCCGATTCGAATCCCGCATTTTGTCGAACCCTACCGCTTCCCTTACACCATTGAGGCCTGGAACTTCCGTTTATGATGTGCCTACATAAAGTATTGGCAACTCGGAGGCGCAGGCCCAAGCCTCCAAATTCATCAGAAAGTTGATCTCTTCAGCCGGCTGCCATTGTACGCATCTATTTGACTGCGCGAGCCACACTGTTCGCCATGCGCCAGCAGCGGTTCGATTCCGCTCCGGGACCGTAAGAATTGGAATTCATCATTTTTGTTCTCTCGGAAAGCTTGTAACAATACAAGGCCGAGAAAGGCGTTTTGAACCGGTGGCTGAACAGTGACTCTCCGAATTTAACGAGAGCCACTGTTCAAATCTGCTTTGGAACACGAGCCAAGTAAATCAAACTCTGGGGCCTCGGGCCCATCTTCGTTAACTGCGGCATATATATCAGATTCCGGAAAAGGGGTCTACCAACTTCAAGTACCAAGGATACAACTCACCTACAACATTGAACTGTCCACGTAGTTCCATTTGCCGGTATTGTGGAGAACGAGTTGCAGATTTCATGAGGGCGTTTGGCAGATAGAGTTTAGTAAAGAAGCCAAAACAAAAGGATAAGAAAGCAAGCACGACACTGGCATGATTCGGACATGCGCCCAATAAGTGGAAGAGATTAAAACTATCTTGTTCTCCAGGGATTCGAGTCTGTCGCGTTGACCACTCCGCCACAGTGCCTGAACAAGAGAGCAATTGAATGTGTCCTCCCCCAGCCCACAACGCTCGCGAAGCCTGTTTTTCCGATCAACGACGCCATTCCCACCTTTTCGTGCTGTGGCCTTCAAGTCTGAGTTGAAATGTCGGTTGAACTGATTTTGGACCAACGAAATCGAAGAACGATATTCAGACAAAGGATTGTACTGACTACATAGTACCAGCGGGTGAAGCACGACACTAGCCTCTGGCACGACCCTAGCCGTACGCAACGCACCCACGAAGCTATTACATATGTGGAATTAAACGAGAGTGGCGGCGAGAATAACAGATTCAGTTAGGAGAAACTGCGATAACTGGCAGATGACTTGCAGCCGTGCAACAACAATACCACTCCAGACTACAGCGCACTTCCTCCCCTACTCCCAATCAGCCAAAGCCGCACCTTTAGTGATAAATCAGCCATGTTTTCCACAGAAAGAAACCAAAGTGTACAAACGTCGCCACTGTGTCAAACGCAGCAACCCACGCCCCTCCAGAGCCGTCAAATACGACCGGGTCGTCGCCTCACATTCGGAGAACGACCTGTCACCCGCTGGAATAAGCCTGATTTCCACCGTCTTCAGAGATTTCAACCGCGGGATGGCCGTGTCGATGGCCTGGTTGAGCAATGCCTCCTGGGCAGCGTCTGACACCGCCGACACCGTGTCAAAGGCCATCGTCTCGAGTCGAGAGTCCTGTGGAAACCCTTGAAACACGGTCATCATCGCCGAGTTCAAAACCAGCGTGAAGATGCGGAGTGAACGAAGGTTTTGTGTCAAAACTGGACCCGAAATGTCGCCGTTCGGAGAAAATATCCCAAGATCTCGGATGTTGTCGGACATCGGCGGCTGGCAAACCGCACTTCTCCACTGGTTGTTGACCCCCAGCCACGATGTGAGCGAGGTAACGCGAGACAAGTCGATCTGCGGATTCACCAGGTAGAAGCAGAACGGCTGTCCGCAGATTGACGACATGCTAAGCGATTCAAGCCGTGGCCGCCATGGCTTGGACTCGGGCCAAGGCTCGTGCTTGGTCACCTCTTGTGCAAAGAAGACGCGTCCGAGCGTCAACGATTTCAAGGAGGTCGCTTCGCTGAAGAGCGACAACAGCTCCTTGGGCGAATGTATCAAAAGCCCCCGGATATGCACAGACTCGAGATGCGGTGAGGAGAATACGGCGGTCAGGGCAGATCTGAGCGAGCGGCCCAACTTGTGCCAATTCATTGTGAATTGGCCGTCCGCGTTCCAACTCAACGGCGAATCCTCGATAATCGATATGCGCTTGATCCGGATGAGGGCAGGGAGAACGAGTGCAAGCGTCCTGCCGGACATGATCCAGGTAGGACGGCGCTCGGAAGTGTAGGAGCCCTCGGCGTCAATGGCGAATGACGTCTCGGAGCCCACCAGCACAATGCGCAGCTCGTGGACGAGGGTCGCCAAGTGAGGTGACGAGGCGATTGTTTTCTGGAACTTTTGGCACGGATTGTCGCCGCTTTTGTGTGGAGTCGGGGGTAGGATTTCGATCTTTTTGAAGAGATGGACCTGTGTGGGCCGTACGAATGGGCGCGCAGCGAGCGAGCAGGATCTGAGGCTTTCCTTGTCGTCCGCGATGTTCTGGACGACGAGATCCACCAGTTCTTGCGGGAGCAGCATTTGGTGGTGGTGGTCACGGTGAAAGAAGTATTGATGGCATCATTTGTCACGCTTCCGAGTCCGGTGTTCTCTGCAGCTTGTCTGCAGCCCTGACATCCACGGATCTTGCAGCTGAGATTGAGCTGGATAATCTGAGCAACACGAGCTTTGGATTTCCCCAAGATGTCCCAGTTTGACCCGGGGCCACCGAGAAATCGGAGGAAAAGTGCTGCCTGCGACTTAATGTCCGACAAGACCCTGTCTGGATTCGAACCAGAGAAAGAGAGACCGCGTTGCTCTTAGGAAGTGGACCATCTGCATTCGCGTGCATACAAAGGGAGTACCGAGTCCTACCGACACATTCTGCACAGAAGCGGAAACTCTGAACCTAAGCCAGATGCCAAAGCCCGGGCGTGATTATGTGGGCCATATGCCATGCAGGTTTAAAACAGGGCGCGCCGCGAGCTTTGGCTGTCTGAATATGACCCAGGGCCCCCCGAGGTCACCGAGCAAAAAAAAAACAAGCGTGGTTGAACGATGAGACTTAGTAAGACAGCATGTTGAACACCATATGCATTTCAGGGCCTTGTAAGTGTTCATGCAAAGGGACTTGGAGTGTATACATATGTACATACCAACATGAACGAAATGTGTTTCTCCTGGCTGTCTAGGTTGATAAGCAAGCGGAAAAAGCAGCGGCGGTACAAAAGAGTTGCCTATCTTGGAACTGGACGAGTTCGCCGACTGGATTCGAACCAGAAGCTGCTGGAATTTGGTGCGAGGCTTGTAGCCGATACCTAATACACATATCGAAACCTCTTATTCTTCCTATCCGTAACATTCAACCACCTCTCCCTGCTGAGCAAATCCTCCTCGCTCAAATCCGAGTCCTTGCTCTCCTTCCGACTAGAACTTCTGTCCCTCCGGCGGTTCTCGATATAATAATAACAAAACAAAAGACACGTCGTGAGGGCAGCTCCCGCCAACGACCCCATCACAGCCAACTTCGCCGGTCGGTAATCCGGTGCATCGCGTGGCTGGAAAGTCTGTGGGCCGATGATAATGCCAATACTGAAAAACCCGCTGACGAGTGCAGCGGCGAAGGCGCGTTTTGTGGAGCCTGCGACGTTTGCTGCTGTCCACTAGTCGAGTTGCGTCGGCGTCAGTGTCAAAGAAGTGAGCAAGATCCGCACGGCGTAAAAGATGGGCAAGGGTGCGGTGATGGCGTTGACGAGGTAGATGCCAGACACCCCGCCTTGTTGCTCGTGGGCATAAAAGACATCAGTGCACCGCCGATGATCCTAGGCCGAGTGAGTCGAATCTCCAAACAAACGAACAATGCTCACCCGGGGATTATGCAAGCCAAAGTCCACGCCCACCGATGTGACTGCATCCAAATGCCATAGCCGACAAATAAGATGAAGAATATTGACACGGCCCCACTAGGCATGTTCATCAACGCAGCCTGCTTCGAGTTGTACCCGAGGTGGCTGATCAGAGCGGCGGAATAGGTGGTAACCACACCGCTGGGTACGGAGAGCTGCAGCGGGATCAGCATACAAGCTGAAGTTGAAATTGAAACGCACGCAAATCGTCGACAAAATGAGCAAATAAATCTGCGGATCGCACAACGCCTCGAGAATCTCCGCCCACCGAAACTTGGTGCGATTCTCCACCCCCGTCTGGTTGACGCTAACATACCTCAGTAGCACCACCTTCTCAGCATCAGACAACCACCTCGCTTGCATCGGCGTATGCGGTAAAAACCAAACCGTCAGACACCTACTGTTGGGAATCTCGAATATGAGGTAGGCGACGAAGAAGAATGTCGCGACATTGCTGAATTCACTGCCGACCAATTTCAGGTCCTTGGTGAGGCCATGACGGCGCCGTACTAAATTAGCGAAGAGAAATGGCACTTTGTCTGCACTCACATTGATAGCCCCTTTGTCAAGGAATTGTGTCGTATAGCACAAGAACAGCAGCGAAACGATATGCCAGTCTACCTTGCGCCGTACGACCGCGATATCGACATCTGACAGCTGCGTCGATGCTCCGAGTCTGAGGGCTTCATCTCGATGGCGATCGAGGAAGGCCCAGGCCGAGTCGAGGTTGCCATCCGAAGCTGCGATGTTGCTGCTGTGGTCGTCCGGGAGTGCCTCGATGCCAGGCAGTGTCTTCTCGTCGGTCGAGGACATCGCGGGGGAGTGACCTTGGAGCAAGTAGGAGAGGAATTCCCTTTTAACACCGCGGCGCCTCCACTTGATGCAAGAAGGCTACCGGTACGCTTGGCCTTCCGACTTCTACGGCGTGGACGGACCTATGACCAAGACACCAGCTCCGGATCTTGCCTGCGCAGTTCATTTAGGAGCCCCAATTCCAAGAGTGTTACGAGAGCATACAGATAAGTACTCACTGAAATTGGACCAGGCTTAATCAATTATCACTTTGGCCATGCAGGAATGCACACCCACCGAGTCCAATCCCGTCCTCATCATCGGTGGTGGCATCGTCGGCCTCGCACTCGCCCAAGCGCTCAGACTGCGAAACGTCCCTTTCATCGTCTTTGAGCGCGCCCTCTGTCCTCCCCACGACACCACCCGAGGCTGGGGCATAACAATCCACTGGGCCCTCCCAGCCCTCCAAACCTGCCTCCCTGAAGCGCTCTTCGCCGCAATCGACTCGGTGCAGGTGGACCCCGCTCTGGGACGCACAAGAGCCGACACGGGGCCGATTCCTCTTCCTGGACATCTCTACCGCAGAACCGCGCTACTCCATCCCACCTGCACCGCGGAAGAGAGTGAGCCGCGTAAGATTGCAGAGGCTGCTCGCTGACGGATTGGACGTCGATCGAGTGCAGTATGGGATGAAGTTCGTTGGCTTCGAGTTCACAGAAGATGGAGAGGGTGTGGAAGCCGAGTTCGCTGACGGCTCGAAAGTGAGCGGATGCATGCTCATCGGCGCTGATGGAAGCACAAGCCGGGTGCGCAGGCTGCTTGTCGGGGAGGAATCAGGGCGCGTGGAGCCCGTGGGCGCCAATTCTCTCGGTGTGACCGTGCGGATGACGGAGGCAGAGCTGGCTCCTCTCCGCGCCATCGACCCACTGTTGTTCCAAGGAAGTCATCCCGATACGGGCAAGTATATGTGGTTTTCGATCCTCTCCACCCCCGAGGCGAACGGCAGCGGCTCCTCCTCCTCAGCGTACTACGAAGCCCAGATCAACGTAAGTTGGCTGGCAACGGACGTCGTCCCCGCAAGCAACAAAGAGCGGCTGGCGCTGATCAAAGAGGCCGCGCGCGCCGGTAGTACGGGATTCCACCAAACGTTCCGTGACGCAATCGAGAGGATTCC